CTTACTTACTTACTTACTGACTTACTGACTTACTTACTGACTGACTTACTGACTGACTTACTGACTTACTGACTTACTTACTTACTTACTGACTTACTGACTTACTTACTGACTGACTTACTGACTTACTGACTTACTTACTTACTTACATTTAGGATTTGGTTTAATTTTTTGTGAATGCCAAAATCTTTACCTCACAGAGAAGATTGAGGTTTGAAAATATCTAAAGACCTAAAATGTCAGTAGAGATCTGGGTTAAATCAGGCTACAGTTGAGCTAAAAATGGAAGCTCAGACAACATAAAAATAATAGTTTGCATTTAGCCAAGATTTACTACCATTAAAATTTTATGCAAATGAGAATAAATTTAGCCAGAAATGCAGGGTTTTACATTGGAATTGCATTTATTGCTAAGTGGGATGAAAAAACAAACATTCTAAAAAATCCACAGGGTGGGTCCATTACAATGACTGTATGTTTTAGTGAAAGTATCCGTCCTTGTTTCCTACGTGTTTGCTTGCTGCTCCATCACCAGAGGAAAGGCGATGCAGCTCCTGACAGCTGTGGAGCTCCATGGCTGAGTGCCCTGGTCAGCCTCCAGATTGCTGTGTGATGGCTGCCTGATAGGAAGTTGATTGACTGACTAGCTGGACCTCCCGAGAGGCCTTTGAGTTGAGGCACTGACTGACAGGTCAATCAGCCACCCGGACCCCATACTGTGGTTATCAATTATCAATCCTGTGTGAGCAAAAACAGCCCTCTCTGTCCCGGTGTGACACGGCGTGACCTTTACCAGCTCGTCAGCGGCTGTCATGTTCTGCCTCAATAACGACTAATTCTGGAGACTTTTCCCAGTTAAAATGACACTGAATCATCTTTAAGAAGCCAACATGAACTGATGATTGATAGTTACATTAAAAGAAAGTTATCTTTTGATCTAAAGCCACATTTGGGACGTATTTCTACATCTAGTTATACTGATTCAGTCTGACTCATCTTCTCTTCCTGTTTTAGCTCATGGTGGGGATCATTCAGGCTGCAGAGCTGCCTGCTATGGATATGGGAGGAACCTCTGACCCTTACGTGAAGGTCTACCTCCTGCCTGACAAGAAGAAGAAATTCGAGACCAAGGTCCACAGGAAGACCCTCAACCCCGTCTTCAACGAGCAGTTCACCTTCAAGGTGGGCCTCGCTTTGAGAGTTCAGCTCAGACACGTTTTGCACTGTTTTGTAGCTGGAAATCTTTTACTTCTGTTGACAATCTGATTTGCATGCAGCCTGGAAACCTGGGAAGGTGTGGAGACAGCGACCAGCTGGCGCATTAACAAGCTCCTGACAGAATATCTCTCACACACAGTTATACTCACACACACACACACACACACACACTGAGGCTGGATGTGATTGGGTTTAACACAGGCAGATGCACAGCCACAGCCCGGCCTCGCCTCAGCTTTAATGGATGCATGACTGTTGCTCAGTAGTGGGGAAAGTTTTGTTATTCACCCGACAGTGAAGAGCGCAGGTGTTTGATGTACATTAAGCATAATGTGATGTGATTTCCATCTCAATTTATGATTTATTGTCTGTTTTTCTTAAATGCTTACTTCAAAGTTTGTTGTGCATTACAGGCATAAAACACCACGTAGGCAGCAAGAAACCTGCCAGAAAGAAGGGATGTTTCTGAGATCTAATCAGAGACAACAGCAATTTTATCACTTTCAAATTACTTTTTTGTAAGCTAAGCTTTTCTGTTTAATAAGTTTGGTTATAAGACTTTATGGAGACTAAATTGAAGTCATATCATGAAACAACAAAGCTTATATTGTAGCAAACAAAAAAAATCTTACAATGTAAATTATTCTGCATAATTAGGAAAATTTGTCTCCATCAGTTTGTAAAGAATTGTTCAAACTGAAAGCAGAAAACTGATTTAGTTCTCAGTTGAATGTTAATTTTCAGATCTAAAAACACTGTTTCACTCAGAGACTGTCTGTGGTTGTGAAGACCTAAAACAAAATGTTTTCCCCATTCTGTGTTCTTATATTTATAGAAACCCTCGTCACACCCTGGATATGACGTCATACCCTTAAAATGAGGAAGTACCTTTAAAACAGTTTCACATRCCTGAAATGTAAAACATTTTGTGTTTACACTGCTGGAGCGACGCACGTGTGAAATAGAGACGTAGATTTATTTACTGTTTAAAGTAAATGACTGCAATCAGTTTTTAAATTAAATGTTGCGGTTTCTCAGTGGGTCTGCACTCAAAAATATAGCCTGGGTGGAGTAGTRGAACACAGATACACTGATCCTTCAACACAGAGCATCTTCAGAAGACAAGTGGATAAAATTATAAAACTAAATCTGTATTGTTCGATACAAGTGTGTATTGAACCTAAAGCACTGTATTATATACGTACATACATACATACATACATACATACATACATACATACATACATACATACATACATACATACATACATACATACATACATACATACATATAATTTGAGATCAGACTAAGAGTAGGAGTTAGGAAAACATTTGAACTTTTAAATAAAATAAGGTAAAATTGTTTTACCAATCTGCATCCCCTTGTGATAATAAAACAATACAGAAAGGTTCCCAGCCTCTGTCTTACACTTTACGTATTTTACACATATATAAAGGACTAGTTTCAATGTCTTAAAGTCTCCAAATAGTTCATTATTTTATCAATGTTCCATTTTGTCATATTTTCCACAATCTGCCAAAAATAATTCAGTATTTTTCTCAGTTTAAAACCTGTTCTCAACTTCCTCTGCCCCTAAAAACTTGCAAATTGAGAGTTGCAATTAATGTAGAAAAATATAATTAGGAAAAAAATCTGTTTAAAAATGTACAGAGTAGTGTAAATGAAGCCTTTATCTGGATGTTGTGTTTTTACATTATTACAAAAAATACATTTCATAAGGTATAAATTATTGTTTCAATATCTTTTTAAATTTGTAMTATTTCATTTTCAGGTCCCCTACGTCGAGCTGGGTGGGAAGACACTGGTCATGACGGTGTACGACTTTGACCGCTTCTCCAAACACGACGCCATCGGTGACATCAAGGTGCCCATGAACAAGGTGGACTTCAGCCACATKACGGAGGAGTGGCGGGATCTACAGAGCGCTGAGAAGGAGGAGGTAAGGCTCAGCAGGCAGACACACATGCAACGGGTTTCGACCAAATTTAATAATAGAAATAGTTTTGAAACCATTATGCACCAGATGCTTCGTGCGAAGGCTCAGGTTGGAACATGTAATTGCTGTTGTTTCAATAGTAAGAGTGTTTTGATCGCATATTAGAATCATTACCCTGCTACAGCTTGTACCACAAGCACACTCCACAGCCGATGTAATCCATCTCTCCTGGAAATGTCACTTAATCATATGTCCACACTTCCCATTCAATTAATAGAAGTGTGAGTTTCCAGGCAGCAGCTCAGGAGATTTAATTTTCATGGTAAATGTCATGGCATACAGCACATGTTGCCAACTTTATTTTTAGCTGTATGGTGAGTTGATTTGAAGGTTAATTATAGCACCATAGGTGTTATCATTAACTTAGCTGTTACATTGGTTGTTGTTTTTTAAGCTGAAGGGAGTTAATTTACCACATTGCATCAGTGCACAGAAACATTTACAGAAACATTTTACATCATGAAGCCATGCTTTATGTTCTCAGAAAATAAAAACCTGATTTTAAGATATTTTTTTCACTCCTGTCTAGTGTCAATGCACTGAGCACCTAAAGGGACAAAAAGGTAAAAAAAATAATTTAAAAAAACTGTCTTGTGCACTCCAGATTATTTCTCATGCACACCAGATATTTTTATGAACGTTACAACCTGTTCAAGACTGGCGTATCCCTTGTATCAAAAAGACATAAAAACTTCTAGATTAATGTTCAATTGGAAATTAGAATTGGAAAAACCTGGAAATAAAGCTCATTATGTCATGTATTTCCATTTCAGTAAACACAGCGAGTCCAAACCAAGAAAGATCCTGTGAGTTATCTAGTGTGCACAATATAGCATCGTGTGTGCACGAGATAGTACTAGGTGTGCACGAGATAGTACAAGGTGTGCACAAGATAGCATCAGATGTGCACGAGATAGTACTAGGTGTACTAGATAGTTCTAGGTGTGCACGAGATBGCATCAGGTGTGCACGAAATAGTACAAGGTGTGCACGTGATAGTATCAGGTTTGCTCGAGATAGTACAAGGTGTGCACAATATAGTACTAGGTGAGCACAAGATAGTATCAGGTGTGCACGAGATAGTACAAGGTGTGCACGTGATAGTATCAGGTTTGCACGAGATAGTACAAGGTGTGCACGTGATAGTATCAGGTTTGCACGAGATAGTACAAGGTGTGCACAAGATAACATTGGGTGTGCACAAGAAGGTTTTTTTTTTACCTCAAAAAAAAAAGGTTAACCAAGTTGGTCCAGGCCTCTGAGGATTGATGCTGGGCGCCTCTTTTAAGAGGTTTTCTGTCCACGTCTCATTGGGAGGAGACCCAGAACTTGCTGGAGGGATTATTTATCTTCTTTGGCCTCTAAAWGCCTTAGGGATCCCCGAGTAGGAGCTGAGGGTGTTGCTGGGGAAAATYATCTCTGGGTTTTCCTCCTGGACTTGTTGCCACCACAACCAAGCCACAGATAAACAGTAAAACCTGCTGCACACATGTCCTTTCTGATTCCACACGAGGCAGCATACTCTGATTGGACCCTGATGAAAGAATCCTGAAACCAGCCAAAGGTCAATTTCCAGGTSTAGTTTGATGTTGATTTTTAAACTTTCCTCAAAATGCCCACACTTGAAACAGTTTTGACCCATGAGGCAGTTGTTCACAGCTTCTGCTCATTGTGTTGGTATCTAAGAAGTTCAAACTGTAACGGCCTGTCTCTGTAGTGTATCATAATGAGGCGATGTTGTGATGCTGATTTGTGTGAAGAGATGAAGTGATTGCAGCACTTTTCCAGCAAAGTGATGAGTAGGGGTGTGGGGAAAGTATGGTTTTCAGAAGCATTTAAACCAAATCAAGGATCCAATTTTACAACAAAGCATCAAACCTTTGACTCTTCTTTCTGCTTGGGAAACAATCCAACAGCAGCTTATGTTCAGAGTTCCTCAACAATCATTCTGATCTTATTGATAGCCTGTCAGGCAGTAAAATTAGATTTAGCTGCTGTTAAAACTGTTGTCACCTTCTGCGATGTGTCTGTCTCTCTAACAGCAAGAGAAGCTGGGTGATATCTGCTTCTCTCTGCGGTACGTCCCCACTGCCGGCAAGCTGACTGTGGTCATTCTGGAGGCCAAAAACCTGAAGAAAATGGACGTGGGTGGCTTGTCAGGTGAGGATTTAAAATGGTGCTAATGTGTACCCTCTGACTTTCCCTCTGACAGGGCCTTTGTCTGTAATTATACACACTCTTCAGCACTTTGCCTCTTACAARACTGCTGTTTTTCACTTTGTCTCTACATGAACTGAACATACCTGAATATTTCTTTAAAAACATATTTCCTTTTGAGCAGATTTGTGCGTAAAAGGCATTTAGTTTGGAAGGATTGCACTGTTGACATGTTGAGAAAGCAGTGAAACATCTTTGATTCAGTGATGACTCATCACTACACTCATGTTGTATAATGAAGGCGAACTGAAGCATTTGCATTTTAAAATCCCCCCACAGTTAAAAACTTTACAAAATAAAAGCATGAAAGCTTTCAAGCTGAAAGAAAAAGTAGAAAAAGTAAGATGCATGTTGTTTTATGTTACAGATATATTGGTATTATTGACATGTAGTAAATTATCTTATTTTATTTATTCATTTCATTAAAAAAAACTGTATACACAACAGAAGAAAAATATATAAATAAAATAAAAGGCATTTGTCTTTCTGTATTTTTAGTATCTGTAGTATTGTTACATATATTGCTAAATATATTTTCAGTCATTTTTAGTAGAGTTTTGGTCAAGTACTGGCAACATGAAAATTCTGGAAAAAAAAGCCTGATGCAACAAAATTAGCATCAACAACTTTAGCATTTACTTTTCCTTCTTGTTTTTTTCTGTTTTTTGTGAATAGATTTAAAAAATATGAAACCATAAATGGACTTTATTTACACTTTGACATAAATGAGCTTTAAATCTAGTAAATGGTGAAGTTTCACTTTTGTTCCTCACTGTTCACCTTCAAACAGTGACTTTAGCTGACATTAAAAATGTCCATAACTCAGTCAACTAAACAGATATTTAGCAAAGTATTTAAGTAGAAGCTGAGACATCTTGCAGTGTTGCATGGAATTGCACACATTGTTTTTGAGATTTGACCAAAACAACTAAAAGTCAATTGTTTCTTCTCATAAGATGTTTTCAGTGTAAAATAAAAATAACAATGGTGGTGGGTGAGGCCCTTAATTTAAAAAAAGTTTTTTGCTAATCTTTACAAATTGCAATTACAAATGTGGTCAGTATTTAGAATTTGATCTCTCCTCTAAATGCACATACAGATCCCCCACATACACAAACACATAGAAAAGCACAAATTACTGCAAAATAAGTCACTACCTTCCCCTCCTGCTTCGACTTCGACTTTCTTCTGCAGGTTCGTTTTAKATTACCCATTGTGCACTTGCCTCCCACCTCAATTCTTACGACTCTGCAATTACTGTACACCTGGGTCCACTTGCTTTCTGCTTGACAGGGCCGGTTTCGGTATAAGCCCCAAACAACGTGCAGTACAGTTAGACGGTGCCCATTTAAAAGCTCCAAGCTCTGCTTCATCTATGAGACCAGTGTGAGAAGCCATTTGACTCTGAAAACATAAAAAATAAATAACTTCCCTGCTGCCTTTTCCAGATACTGATATTAGCTCTCACCTGTGCCCGTTTACTGTGTCAGACTGTCAACATGTTGAGCTGTCAGCCACATCAACAGGCTAATATAAAAATGTGTGAATCTGTTCTCTTTAAAGACCAAGTGGCTCTTTTACAAAAGTAGTGTGAAACCACACACTGCACTTCAGTTTTAAATCATCTGTGAGGATGATCATACAATAAAATCACATGAAGTGTTTAATAAGAGAAAAAATTTATATTTTTGTAAGTAGTAGCTGCTTTTCTTTTATAAATGCAAACTTAAATGTGCAGCAGATGGAGGGAATACTGGGKAGGTCTCTAATAATAATAATTAGCCTCCATGCACAGCCAGAGCTTAAGAAGGAGGACGTGTAATTGATGGCCTGGGATCAGCCTTCTCCTATTTGTCATCCTGTTTACCGTGCCTAATTATGGCTCACAGAGGAAGATGTGGGAATTATCATTAACCAATGTATAATCAGAAATAATTCTTTTGATTTGCTCCTCATGAAACGGCCTCCTAACCCACTCTCACGCTGTGTCCTAAAATAAAAACAAACTTTTGCGGAAACAGTTGGAAACAACAGTGAACTTTTGGTGATTCACCGGATCGCGGTGTCTAAACTGTCGTGACGCTCGAAGCACCATGTTCTTTAGCTGTCGGCTTAAAATAATCCCAGCCTCGTTACAGACAAGTTACRGCTCCTTCCGCTTTTATTGTTGTGATACGTAGCCATTATGTTGACTGGTAGGCAATCAGATCTCGCTGAATTGAAAAACTCCAGGGGAGAGGGTTTTTTGGGGGCCAAACAGGTAAGAGAGTGATTGTTAAAGCTCAGAAATGAATCAACAACCAAAGATAAAATCACTTTAACCTCCCACAGATGTCTCATTCTATTTAGTGATTGGAAAAGAGGAATGATCTCATTGTCTGAACAAAATGGAGCATTTTACAGTTTTCCAAGCTAATGCACTGTATCTSTGGCATTTAGCACCTCTGAGATGACTCAAAGGTCTGGTGAACACTAAGGCCAACCGTCTGGGAGTAACACAGAAAGAGGGCATAAAGACTTAAAGAGGTATAAAGTGTTTTGTTCCACTCTCTTTGTACCTCTGAAGGAAGTCGTCTCAGAAAGCTGTGAGGCAGCACATAACCACGTAATGGCCTACAGAAGGGGAGGTTATCAAAGCACACAGGTGCTGTGCTGARGGTAATGAAGCTGCGCAGCCCTGACCCGAGGCTATATCTCAGTATCAAACATCGCAGCTGCAAGGTTTATTTGTCTTTGTTGGTCCTACAGCGAAGTCTTCTTTAAGGCAGTAAGCCATGGGTCTAAAGGCATTGTTAAGACAAGAAACATGATTAGGAAATGCTAAATAAATTAGTTTTTGGCCAATTTATTGTCAGACATTTTTACTCTGAGTGGATCTATAGCAAGCAAGCAGAGGCTCASCGTTCATTTATACAACTTGCCTTTTCCTACTCTTTCAAGGCTAAATGCCTGCTGAGAAAAAAGGCACACATGAATTGTGTAGCCTGGTTTAAACCAGACCCTGTCCTTCACTTTGCTTCGTACAAGGGTCTGGACTTGATGCATAGAGAATCGATTTCTTGCAGGAGGCGTGGCCTCMGCTGAAGTTTAAAATGATTMGATCAGTTGGCTGCGACGTATGTCGCTGTAACGGAGCTAAGCTAAGAAGCTAACCGGAAATCMTGTGTGCTGTAAACAACKCTACTGAGAGGAGAGAAGTACRGAGCRYAACGAGACGACTGTAAATGAGAGCTGCTGCTTTGTCAGACAAATTTATTTTAATTTGATTTATCAACACAGACTGGCTTCATTCACTTCCTCCACTGCCGTATGCTAAAATAACTAGTAGACACTGCGCAGAACATTGACGTTGTTCAAACCTCCTCTGTCTGTTCTCTGATTGGCCCAGCTAAAATAAACTACAAGCAGACACTGRGCAGAAAATTGACATTCTGTTCTCTGATTGGCCCGGCTAAAAATCTGCCAGCGAAATCCTTGTCTATGGGAGAAGTCCCAGACGGAGCAGTGAAGGGAAACTAGAATTGAGCGGAGCTGCGTAGGAAGACAAGGGCCAGGCTATGAATTGTGGTGTCTTTATAGAAAAATTGTTGCTTATTCAAGAGAGGTGCACTAAAATCACTGCTGTCCACCTTCAAAACAGTAGACGTTGCTTCAGAGTCAACACAAAAGTGCTTCAGATTTTGGGACTTTGCTTTAGGCAGATGTCGCCATCGCCAGAAGTGTCCAATCCTGGTCCTCGAGTCCCGCTATCCTGCATATTTTCTTTGTTTCCCTCCTCTAGCAGTCTTAATTCAATGGTTGAATTTCCTTTTCAAGTTCTGCAGAATCCTGTTAATCACCCCTTCATTTAAACCAGCTGTGAAGAAACCTCAAAACCATGCATGGTAGCGGCTTCTGAGAACCAGGATTGGACAGCCTTTCTCTAGCCTAACTGGAGCAGAACCATACATGTTAACTTGWATGGATTGTCCATAAATTACCTGAATTTTCCTCCACTGATTGTTCCTTTCATTGAATAGAAGGGAAGATGTGGACGGTGTCATTCCACTCCGGTACACACGCGCACACCTGTATTTATATTTTGTGATAGTACAACATATATTTAAGGATCTGTGTACAATATCCAAAGGGGTTGCCATGTACATAGTACTTTGTGTCTGGGAAGGCAACTGTCCCCATATCATGATGGGACAGTGTCCCTCATTGGTTAATCTTTGGTATCTCTCTTACAAACTGTGATATAGAGGAGAAAATATGGTCAATTGCTTGTTGGAATTTTAACAGTTCAAACCTGTCTTTCCCACCATCACATGTTAGTGTTCTACATAATAATGAATCCCAAGTTGTTTGGCAGTATGGTCTGCAAAGCAAGACCATACTGTAGAACAAAGTCACATTCCCAGGAGGCCCTTCATGTTCTGAGCTTCTGAGAAGAGTTTCACTATAATGTTTGGGTTTGTGTGAGCTGTGCGTGATTCACCGCTGAGCTGAGTGTGTAAAACTAAAGTGACAGTCACCCTTGGGTGCACCCACCGTGGCAAATCCTAAATGATGGGAGGAAAGCTAAGATGACAGCCGGGCTATATTTAACCCTGCTACATTGGTGTTCATTTGGCACAATTCRGCAGGCACTCCCCCACCCCCCACCCCACCCCAGTGACCACACTCAATGAAAGATCTGAGGAAATTCCTACCAAAAGGATAAATTTTAAGCATCTCTACCCTCCTGAACAATAGAGAGAAATTCTAAAAAAAAAAAAAAGAAATAGACTGCCATAGCAGCTTGACTCTGCCATGGATTTGGCTCAAAGCACGTCTCTGATTCAGAATCCTGTGTCTGACTTCCTGAGGGATGTGTATGGATGACTGATAGAGCATCCCCTCATAAAACTGTGGCCAAGATCCAGGACACAGATGAGTAACCCTCTGGATGGTGAAGACAA